CTAATTTCTAAATCAATAGACAAACTTACTAAACAAACTGATGTAATCTGAAAAATGAAAATTTTGAATCCAATAGCCCTTTTTTCATTTCTTCTACTGAAATTGCTATTGAAAATTAATGGCTAATTCATTCCAATAGCCATTCATTTTTTTTTCTTGAAATTAGCTTGAAAATGAAAATTTTGAATCCAATAGCAATTCCAAGGTCCATTTTTTTTTTTGGGGAGTAATGCTGTACAAACAAATTTAAAAACAAACTGATATAGGTAATGAGTTGTTCCTATTATGTATTTAAATTCAATAGATCCTATTTCAAGTTTCAAATCTTCACTTTTGTAAGAAAATTCTGTTTGTATATCATCTTCTCATAAACCAAACAGACAACTGTATACAGGCTAACCTGATCACTCCAAAATGCTCGATCGCACAAACTGGAACCCAAGCCATCGATCAAACTATCTTGACCACTGGAATTTGACCCGATTGATCGGGTTTGATCCGCAGAGAGAGTGATTTGGTGAGAGAAAGAACGAGCACAGCGAGAAAAATGCCGAGGAGATCAGCAACAACGTCTTTGGCGGAGGGTCTGGCCGACTTGAAGAAGCCAAGCTCGTTGGCGACCTCTTTGGCGGCGCCGGCGGAGAGGGAGACGATGGATCTGAACCAGATGGTCTGGCAGCTTTTTCGGAATAGCGAGTTAGGGAAGCAGGAGAGAGAAAATAATGGTGATGGAGAAGCAGAAGAGAATGTGTTGTAGCTTATTCGGGGACCAACCACTCGTCCCCATTCTCCATTAGAGACACAGAGAGAGAGAGAGAGAGAGTTGGAAGGGGGCAGCGGTTTAGGGTTTATAAATGGCAACACTTAGAAATGGCGACCAAATTTTATAAATGGCGACCAAATTTTTACGGAGAGTGGGTACAAAACAACGTTGTTTTATAAATGGCTACCAAATTTTTTTTTGTCGCAAAAAATTTTCATTTCCCCCCTCCATGTTTCAAATTTCCCTCCCAAACTTTTCGCAACCAAATGACCAGATTAGTCGCATAAAATGTACCTTCGCCGACAAACTTTTTTAGTCGTCAAATCTCAATCAACGGCGACTAAAATATTAGTCGCTAAAAAAACAATTTTGGCGACTAATTTTTTTTGGTCGCCAAAATGTAACCTTCCGCGATCAAATTTGAAGTTGGTTGCCAAAAGCATATCAATTTCTACGACTAACTCATTTTTGGTCGCCAAAAATAACGATCATTCGCGACTAATTAATATTTTGGTCGGCAAATGTCATTTTTTTGCGACCAAAATTTTTTTGGTTGACAAAAGTGGTCGGCAAATGTGTAAATTCTTGTAGTGATATCTTATGATATTGCCTATGAGAGGTTCCCGTATATTGAATTGTTAACTATCAATTCATCTAAAAGTTTTAGTTGTAGCAAGCCAAATATGTGCAAATATTTTTTAATTATTGGATAAGCAGTGAGATTCGAACACAAGATTTATTATCTACTCTGATACCATATTGAGTTATTAACCATAAACTCATCTAAAAACTCAAACTGTTAGAGACATTGATAACTTTATTATCTGTATTATATTTTCAACCCAATAAATAAAAATGATAAATTATACTAACATTCCTTGCCTCCAAAGGTAAGTCGCTATTGTCACACTCATCAAATTTCCCTGCTATATCATTGGTTTAGAGTTTAAGTAAATAATAATTTATTGTATTCCATAACTAATGAATAATTATGCATGGGCATTGATCTGATGGTAACCTCACGATTTCTTTGTTTTTATCAATTCAACCACCATATAAGCTTCTAAATCTTCAATTAAAGTAATTTGAACTTCTATATTGATAATTTAGTTGAGTTCTCTATAGGTGTTTGTGCTGGACCAGGAGGATTATTGTTTTTACTTGTTGCTATTTGGTTAACCAAAGTAACAAAGAAAAGAAATGACATGAAACGCAAGGAAAAATTCTTTAAGCGGAATGGTGGTTTTTGCTACAACAAGAAGTGTCTTCAAGTGATGGCAGTGTCGAAAAAACCAAACTGTTTAATTTAGAGGAGTTTGAGAAAGCCACTGATCATTACAACGACGATTGTATCCTCGACCAAGGAGGCCAAGGTACTGTTTACAAAGGCATGTTGTCAGATGGAAAAATCATCGTTGTTAAAAGGTCGTCGTTGTTAAAAGGTCCAAGGTTGTCGACGAAGGAAAAGTTGATCAATTCATCAATGAGGCTGTCATTTTTTCACAAATTAACCATAGAAATATTGTCAAGCTCTTGGGTTGTTGTTTAGAGACAGACGTTCCTCTACTAGTATATGAGTTCATCCCAAATGGAACACTCTTTTAGCATATTCATGACCCAAATGAGGAGTTCCCATTACCGTGGGATATGCGCATTCGGATTGCTGTAGAAGTTGCTCGGAGCTTTTTCCTACTTACACCATGCAGTGTCCATACCCATCTATCATCGAGACATTAAGCCCACCAACATACTCTTGGATGAAAAATATAAGGCAAAAGTTTCTGACTTTGGAACTTCAAGATCAGTCGTTGTCGATCAAACTCACTTGACCACTCTAGTACAGGGGACATTTGGGTACTTGGATCCGAAGTACTTCTAATCAAGCCAATTTACCGATAAAAGTGATGTTTACAGTTTTGGAGTTATTATTGTTGAGCTTTTAACTGGGCAAAAACCAACTCATCCACTAAATCTCAAGAAAGTAGGAGTTTAGTCACGCATTTTATGGAATCAATGGAGGAAAATTATCTACTTGAGATTCTTGATCCACGGATTCTGAAGAAGGGTCAGAGAGAAGAGATGATTGTTGTTGCTCACCTCGCAAGAAGATGCCTAAACTTGAATGGGAAGAAGAGGCCTACGATGAAAGATGTATTAGTTGAGTTGGAAGGAATTAGAATGTCACAAGGAGGTCCAACCATCCACCAACACTATGAAGAAGTTGAATACAATACAACTGATTTGACTGAGGCTTGGGATGTTGCTTCAACCTCAACAGGGACACTCTTAGATAGTGGGAGTGGCACAGCTTTATCATTTGATATACAACCACTATTGCATACCAAGTAGTGAAGTCTAAACTATACATACAATGCTTGTCCATGCTAGATATTTACCATAATGCTTTGTTATTCAAATGTCAATTATGTACTAGTATGTAATGTTACAAACTTGTACTAATAACTTATGCCTTGGATTGGCAATAATAGTAGTTTTCTATACCATAATTCATATTGATAAATTCATTCACCTAGAACAAACTAGATTCATTTCTTTGATGGAACACCCAAAAAGGTACTCTGATCTTGGTCAAATCCACAACATGGATCCAACTAGATTGAGCTCTATTGAAGATGATATTATTCTTGTGTAGTCCATAAAGTCTCACATAGTCGCAAAGAAAAGTTATGTCCATATTTGTTTCTCCAAATTGGAGAAACCCCACCTAAACCACCACTCTCAAAATCTCAATCCAAACTTTCCGAGTGAAGTTACATAAAAAGAGAGGATGTTTGGTTGATTCCTCATGTGCGATATAAATCGCCAAAAGAAAAAAAAAAAAAAAAAAAAAAAAAAAAAAAAACCTTCTTTGCCTCTCTTCCAAATTCAACTATCTTCAGAATTGAGTCTCAATTGGACTGCTTCCAATAAGTTGAGTAATATTCGGGGGGCGGGGGTGTAGCCCAGTGGGTAACCTCTCGGGGTTTGGGTCTGGGATGTGTGGGTTAGGTGCACGTCTCAGGTTCAAATCTCATAAGGGGTGCATTTCTTGCAGCAGTTTGAAAAGGGTACATGGCTTCCCACAGGCTACTTACTCCCGAGATTAGTCGTGGTGCGTCACTCCTAAAGGGTGCTGGCCCGGATACTCGGTTATCAAAAAAAAAAAAAAAGTTGAGTAATATTCCACATGATTATCTTTTTTCTTATTCAAATAAAGATCTTTTAAATCTGAAATCCCAAACCATGTTGTTGTTCTGATCAAAAGAACAGACCTCAGCCATACTTTACAATCTTTTTGCAAAGAAAGTTTAGAAAGTCCAGAAAATCTGTGTTTGAAGTAACAATTATGAGACCATTTATCCTTCCAAAACCTTATCCGCAATCCGTTTCGCAGTTTTAAGTTGAAGTTCTCATTTTAACGCTGTCCCAACTCTATCAATCATATGAATCTGGCCAACGTCGACAATTCCTTTCCATAAACCGGAAGCGACACCTTCCCTCATTAGCAATGGGATCGATGATTCATACCCATTCCCATTATATTTGTGAACAATAAGCTTCCCCCATAAAGAGTCCTTTTTTCTCTCCCAAATCTCCACCATCATTTTGACAAAAGGGATGAATTCCTTAGTCTTACAGGAATAACACCCAACCCACCAAACTCATTTCTTGTTGTCACTTTTTCCCAATTCACCGAATTAATCTCTTCACAACCACCCCAAAGAAATCATCTCTATAATTTTTCCATTCTATTTTCCACTGTTTACAGGCATTCTAAAAACAGACAAGTAGTACATTGGTAAATTGGACAATGTTGCCTTAAGCCGTGTCACCCTTCCGGCAATTAGCCAGTCTATCCCTAACTCATCAAATTTCTCCGCATATTTGTAATCTAAAGGACTGTCATTGTGGTTCCTATGGTATTGGACTCATTCAAACTCTTACATTTAATGGAGTTCCACATCAAACAGTGAGGAATGCTGATGAAGTCTTCCGTGCTCTAAAGAATTTCTCAAAAAACTTTATTTATTTATTTTTTATTAGAGAAATATTATTTATCAATAGTAAACTATTTTGCTTATATATAACAGGAGTCTTTTTATTATTAATGTAAATTGTGGTCAATTATAGCAGCTGAGGAATCTCAAGACTTCTTCTACATAAACATTAGGCAGAGGTTGAGACGTCTCTGTTTAATTAAATTAAATTAGTATATTACGCATAAAGAGGGAAATAACATAAAATATGCAAAATAAAAACAACACAAAAACTATAGACGAAGAAGAAAAAAAGAAAAGAAAAGAAAAGCATGGTTTTGCAGAAAAACTCCTCCTCCTCTTCTCTCCTCCTCCTGCTGCTGCAGCTGCTGCTGTGGCTGACAAAAACATCGGCGCTTTCTTATGCGAAGCCCGGTTGTCCAGAATACTGCGGAGATGTTAGAATTCCATATCCTTTTGGAATAGGTCCCAATTGTTACTTAGATAAATGGTTCTCCATAGGGTGCAAGAACTCAAGCAGCAACAACAACGGAGCTGCACCTTACTTAATAGAGATCAATCTTGAGGTGCTGGAAATTTCATTGAATGGAAGCTACCTTCGAGTCAACAATCCAGTAACATCTCCCAACTGCCCCATCAACAACAACGTAAACTCAACTTTAAGCATTGACTTGAGATTTAGCCCTTTTCGCTTCGCAGAAACAACCAATGTATTCATGGCCACGGGCGTGAATTGCAACAACCAGGAGGCCATATTGACTGATCCGGACAACCAAAGGATTACCAATTGTTCGTCTACTTGCGATCCTATTAATAATATTAATATTAGCTCCTGCGCTGTTGAAATCTCACCGTATGTGCAGTACCTGCAGGGCTACAAGGTGAATTTGCAAAGCACAAACAACAGTACTCAGAGTGGAGGTGGAGTTGTCCAAACATCATGTGTATATGCGTTCTTGGTAGATGCCCAAACACAAGTGTTGGTCGGTGTGAACAAGGGTTTCAGTGAGGCTGTCCAAATTCATGTCCCTGCTGTTCTCGAATGGGTAGTCCAGTACAATACCACACAGCTCGGTTTGGTTCCCGACAACTACAAAAATAGCTACTCCTGTCTTCCGTGGTCGCTTGCATATTCTTCTTTCTCAGACGGCAAGTGTGTTGTTGTTCAAAGCCTCCAGTGCATTTGCAATTTTCCCTTTCTTGGAAATGCTTATTTTCCCAATGGATGTGTAGGTACGTACCTCTTTTGCTCTCTCAACCCATCTAATTAACCAACCAACCAACCGACCGACTAATCTCAACTGAGATAGTTCAATCGCCAGAGAGGTAGCAAATTTAAGTAGTAATTGTGTACTTTGCTATCTTAAATACAAATTTGTTACCTTGAGTTGCGACTTTTGAAATTTGGTTTTTCAATAAAAGTAGTAAATTTTATTGTGGACAAGTCTAAATTGATGAACCACTCAAAAGAAAATTTTAACGAGAAAATAATTATTTGCGATTTGTGTTTGACATAGCAAAGTTATAAAATGACTTTTATTTATGTTTCATTACCTGTCTAAAAACAGACTTTTGTTTGAATTTTCTTATATTTTTAGCAAATTTTTTTTTATATATATTTTAGTCAATTTTTAAAACTTTTAGAAACATCTAGATTAGTTACATTTAAAATATATATCTATTGATTAAAATATAAATAGTCTAAAAACAGTTCACTTGGTGATTAGCTACTTGTAAATCTGTTGTTTACATGTATATTTGCAATTTGAGTGATTATAGTCGTGTTAGGTGCATAAAATTAGAATACAAAATCTATACAGAAAATTGACCAAGATTTATTTTAAAGGTCATACTCAAAATGATACGAAATAAAGTGAAGAGAATGTGTTTGGCTTACCTATGAATGAGGTAGAGACCATTTATATAAAATATATTCATGATACAATTTAGGAAATAATATAAACAAGGCTCTAAATCCGTGATTCATACAATCATAGATTTTATATAATCTACTAAAAATAAAATATTCTAATTCCTATATTCAACAAATTTCACCCACTCACAGCATTTTTTGTACGCATTATTTTTTTTATCGGCAAAAGAAAGACAACTTTATTGATGTATAAAAACATACATGACATGTGAAGATACATCAATAAAGAAGAGGAAGTGCAAAAGCATCACAATAAAACTTCACGATCCCAACTAGATTGACACCGCGAAGCAAACCCAATCATTTACTAGCAAGCCTTGAGGTTGGTGGGAAACCAACAAGGAAAAAGAAAGAAAAAAGCGAACAACAGACAACAAAAAAAAGAACCAGACTAGAGCAACCCAAAACAGAACACAGCAACCAGCATAGGGCCAAAAAGCAATAACAGGTCCACCCATAGATAAAACAGCAGCAGGCCATGATCAACCAATCCAGTAGCTTCCAACCAATCCAAGCCTTCCAGAGCAGCCAACACATCAACACAAAAATAATTGATATATCTTCTCACCACCAAGAAAATCCTCTGATATCCTGATTATGCCAGCAGTCAAGCAGCTCCAACAGAGTTAGCGGCTGCAGTAGCGAACCTGGCTCAGATTGGAAATGAAATCCTCAATTGAATAAGGTAAACCAACCGAGTGAGCCTTGACCCAATGAGCAATCCTGACCTTGACTAACTCACACAGGTCCTCAAGGATAGGTTGATGATTGTTGAAGATGACATCATTGCGAGTCTTCCAAAGTGACCAAAGAACAGTTAAAGGAATGGTTCACCAAATCGAATTATGTATTCTAATTATGTGCAGCTAGCATTATTGGAGTGATTATTGTCTAGTAATTTGCAATTTTTTTTTTTTGGACTGATAAGTGCTTTAAATTTCTGATAAAGTTTATTGCAATTGTATGCAGATACGTCCATTAAACCTCCTAAGTCAAATGCGGGTATTATCATTGGTAAGCTCGTTTTCATTCCAAGTGTTTAGAAACATAGAAATGGAGCGATTGTTTCGTGTAGTTTATGAAGCGGTTTATAAATTACTTTATTTTATTCTTAGAAATTTGTGTTAGAGTATTTGGTACTTATTGCTAATATAGTGGTGGTGATTGCTAATATATAGGTGTTTGTGCTGGATTAGCTGGAGGATTGTTTTTACTAATTGCTTCTTGGTGGTTCTACAAAGTAATAAAGAAAAGAAATGACAAGAAACGCAAGGAAATTTTCTTCAAGCGAAATGGAGGTTTTTTGTTACAACACAAGTTGTCTTCAAGTGATGGTAGCGTTGAAAAAATCAAACTATTCAATTCGAAAGAGTTGGAGAAAGCCACCGATCATTACAATGAGGATCGTATTCTCGGCCAAGGAGGCCAAGGTACTGTTGGGAATGCTTTGTAAACACAAGTTTTGTTTGAAGAATGATTGCCAAGAGCAATCTACACCAAAGTGTTGACCGAGTGGGGGCAAATTTTTTGTTTCTTACAGACATCCAATTAATTTTCATGCCTTAGGCTTTTTGTTTTCTCTGATTTCAATAAGATTTATTTATTTATTTATTTTAATCAACCACTTACTTCCAATTAATTTTCCAACAGGTACTGTTTACAAAGGCATGTTGTCAGATGGGAGAATCATCGCTGTCAAAAAGTCTGAGGTTGTGGATGAAGGAAAAGTTGAGCAATTCATCAATCAGGTCGTCGTTCTTTCACAAATTATTCATAGGAATATAGTCAAGCTCTTGGGTTGTTGTCTAGAGACAGGCGTTCCTCTACTAGTATACGAGTTCATCTCAAATGGAACACTCTCTCAACATATTCATGATCCAAATGAGGAGTTCCCATTATCATGGGAAATGCGGTTTCGGATTGCCACAGAAGTTGCTGGAGCTCTTTCCTACTTGCATTATGCAGCTTCCATACCCATCTATCATCGAGACATGAAGTCAGCCAACATACTCTTGGATGATAAATATAAAGCAAAAGTTTCCGACTTTGGAACTTCAACATCAATTGATGTTGGTAATACTCATTTGACCACACGAGTACAGGGGACTTTTGGGTACTTGGATCCAGAATACTTTCAATCGAACCAATTTACTGAAAAAAGTGATGTTTATAGCTTCGGAGTTGTTATTGTTGAGCTTTTAACTGGGCAAAAACCAATCTCTTCCAATAGATCTCAAGAAAGTAGGAGTTTAGTCACGTATTTTATGGAATCAATGCAGGAAAATCGTCTACTTGAGATTCTTGATCCCCGGATTCTCAAAGAGGGTCGGAAAGAAGAGATGATTGCTGTTGCTCACGTCGCAAGAAGATGCCTAAACTTGAATGGAAAGAAGAGGCCTACAATGAAAGATGTTGCAGTTGAGTTGGATGGAATTAGAATGTCACATGGAAGTCTGACAATTCACCAACACTATGAAGAGGTTGAATACAATACAATTGACCTTATCGAGGCTTGGGAGGTTGCTTCAACCTCGACTGGAACTTTTTTAGATAGCAGTACAGCTTCAACATTTGAAATGCAATCACTACTGCATAACAAGCCGTGAAGTATACACATGCACACAACATAATACATATATGTAATGCTTGTCCATCTTAGATTTTTTGCTTGAGACTATACCAATAAGTTACCATAAAGATTTGTTATTGAAATGTTGGTTAGAATAATTAAGTACTAGTATGCAAAGCTACAAACTAGTATGACTTATGCTTTGGATTGGCAATATTAGTAGTTTCCTATACTATACATAATTCATTTTAATAAAGGTATCATCTATATGTATTTAATGTACGTATGAGTGATTAATAATGATCTGTCCATTAAACGAGTTAGGCAAACGCCTGAGGCTCAACATTTGAGAAGGCCCCCAAGTTCTTAATACTGTTATAATATATGTTGTCATGAAACAAAGACGCTTAATAATGTGTAAAATCTGCAAAAACCCATTCTTTCTCCAGACGTAAAAATAAAGTTGATAAGTCACACATGCCGAAATCATAATTATAAATTAAAAAAAAATGAAGCTTTATGTTTTTTTCTCAATATTTGTACTGAATCAAATAAATAGAAGGCATATGTGCTATAGTGTACTAGATAAAATGATATTTTTTTTTTGGTTTGGCCCTCCAAAATAGTTAGATATGTTAGGCCTAATATTTTTCAAGAAGAATAACATTTCTTCTTCACTAAATTGATTATAAAAACCTAATTAGTAGTTGGATTAAAAGTATTATCAATTGAAAATATATTAGAAAATTTTCATTCTAAAAACTTTCATCTTGGAAAAAGTAAAAAACATTAAATTTTAATATTTGTTTTTCTACTCATATTTGATTTTGATCGGACACTGGCCAGGTGAAAACCATATATAAAAGTTTATTGGTTGTGAAAGTAGAAAGTTTGAACAGCAATGCTACATTCACCGAATTTTGGCTTGCCCGAATTGCCTGAATATGTGCATGCCAATCGTCTGGGTAGTCGACTAGCTAGTCGTCTAGCTGGTCATCCAACAACAAGGGTGACAACCTGTGACGACCGAGTCTCTTTCTTCCTCTCCTTTCTTTCTTTTGGTCTCGTTCTCTTTCGTCCTCGTTGGGTTTGAAACCCTCGGAAGTTATTTTTCCAAATTAAAGCCTTCGTTCTTGTTCTTGTTGGTGTGAAGCTTCCTTCTTCCGGGAAGTGCAGAGTCAAGTCTGGAGTGCCCGAGAAGCAAGACAGAAAATTCTAGGCTGCTGGGCTAGGGCCGCACGTGCGAGGGCCCAAGGCCGCACGTGCCGGGGTTGGACCGCACATGCGGGAGGCCAAGCCGCACGTGCAAAATTCAGGGGCTTGTTTGGCTTGCCTTCTGCTTAAAAGGCACGAGCGAGGAGGAGGTGCGCGAGAACCGCCGCACGTGCAGGGGTGAGGGCCGCACGTGCGGGAAGGGGGCTCTGCACGTGCGGGGTTTGGTGCCGCACGTGCAGCACTCTGGGCAGTCCGAAAGCCCTGTTTTTCTTCTCTTTTAGTCCGAAAAGTGTTTCTCTTTTTTTTATTTCTCTCTCACTCTAAACCCTATTTTCCTCTCCTTTCTCTCTAGAAAATCTTCTCAAACCCCCAAACACTTTGATTCTTGTAAATTTTGGGGTTAGATCATCAACATTTCACTCAAATCTTGAAGATCCAAGTTAGGGCTCTTTGGGTGTTGTGGAAAATTTGAAGAGGATTCAAGACCAAGCTAGGGTTTCATTTTCTCACTCTTCATCAAGCTTGAGGTAAGGTTTTCTTGAGTCATATATACAAGTTTTGCTAGATTGAGGCTGATTTGAAAAGATTCTTGAAGTTTTGTGTTGATTTCTTTGATTTTGATTTTCAAAATGAAGAGGGCTTTGAATATGGGTTTGTATTTCAACCTTTTACTATTATTTTGAGGGTTTGCCTCTATTAAACTCATGAAAAAATGGTGTGATGGAGTTTCTCTTAGAAAATGATGAAAGTTTGTTATTGATGAAAACCCTAGAAATTGGGGATTTTTTGGTAAAATGGAAAATGTGATTTTCAAAATGAAGAGGGCTTTGAATATGGGTTTGTATTTCAACCTTTTACTATTATTTTGAGGGTTTGCCTCTATTAAACTCATGAAAAAATGGTGTGATGGAGTTTCTCTTAGAAAATGATGAAAGTTTGTTATTGATGAAAACCCTAGAAATTGTGGATTTTTGGTAAAATGGAAAATGTCTTTGAAATTTCTTATTTTCTTGTGTTAAAAAGATGAATGAGAGGGGTTTCATCAATATTTAACAAGATGGCAAATTTACTTGATGTATGTGAAGGAGGTGTTATTTAAATCTTATTGCTAATACTTGAATAAGCAAGTTTGTGTGTGATAACTTGTTGGATATCACAAATGGTGGGAAAATTATAAGCATTGGGAATTTATATTTGAAATATGTCACTTGTAGCCATGGAGAGACTAATTTGTTATGACATGTGAAATGAGAATTGTGGCAATATATTGATGACAAATGTTAATTTTGTGGATGAATATTGAAAGGAGAATATGAGAATGTGAATGTTGACATTCTTGTAGAGATATTCAAAATGGAGAAATGTTATGAGATATGGAAAAGATCTTTGCATTGTATGTTACTTCATTTATCATTGTGCATTGTGAACTTAAATGAAAGAGATTTACATTATGAAGAAAAGTATTATTGTAATGAGAACTATGGAAATGTGGTATGGGGTAAATACGTGGTAAGTCCGGATAGGGGGTGTAGTTGATCTTGATAAGTTGGCCTGAGTGTCCATGGTGAAAGACCAGAAAACCACGCAGATAGGTGTCGAGCCTTCCGGTTAATACCGGTAAAAATAACAATTTGGTAGTACTCGTAAAGTCTACTTGCAGACACCAGCCTAGGGATTACCAATGTCGTATTTACCGCCCCTATTGATTAAAATTGGAAGTTTGTTGAATGTGTTAAGATTGCTAATTTACATTGAAATGGAAGTTTTAAAAGAGCATGAAATGGAAATTTTCTTTAAAAGGCATGGCATAGCATGAACATTGGCATTTTGTTGGAAGTATACATAACTGTATATACTTTGTAAGAACTCTTTACTGGGCTTTATGCTCACCCCTATGGGATTTGGTGCATGTAAAAACGTTGTGATTCCGCCGAGCTAAGGGTGGGAATGTGTTTTGGTGAAGAGTAGCCTTGCTCTTATTTTTGTTGTGATTTTTTTGTACGCCAAGGGCTAATATGTTTGGGTCCGAGAGACCATTTTGTGTAACCGGGCTATTACCTTAGAAGGTGTAAGCCCTTAAGGGCAGTCTATTGTTTTGAGATTAGATGCCTCACATGCTATAGATTCAAGTGATTCTTTTATCGTTGAACGTATATCCGCATGTGAACTTTTGTATAAATACTCTCATTATTTATGTAAAGATGGATGGTTTATTGTCATGGTCTAGTTGATGTTAATCAATGTGGGTTGTTCATGTTAGATTATTTTTGGGGCGTTACACAACCACGGTTGACAAGGGTGACAACTGCAATTGACAAGGATTGTACCGGTCATTCGGGTGGTCGTCCAGGCAGTCGACCATCACACACAAACTCAAGCAATTCGGGCAAACTTAAATTCAGTGGACGAATCATTTTTCAAGTTGAGCTTGAATATGACAAAGTCTCCAAACACTTAGCTCATCATAGTTGATCAAATTAGATTAAAGTTATAAGATCACTATCACTGGACTTTAAATGGAATGGCCCCATTATTATGACAATTGAAATAGTAATTAAATTTGATATTAACTACTAAAATATCAGTAAGTAAAAAGTTTGAATATGTCAAAGTCTCCAAGCACTTAGCTCATGATAGCAGACCAAATTTAATTATAAGTTAAAATCTGTATCACAACAATTTAAATGAAACGGCCTTATTATGATAATTGACACTGTAATTCAATTTGCTATTAACCACTAAAATATCAATAAATACAAAGTTTGAATATTAGAATCGGACAAAGTCTGATAGTCCGTACTCAATTATATACTCTCTATTTTGCTCTTGATTTTATTAATTTTAGTCATTTTAATAAATTATATTTAATATAATAAATAATGCTCCTGGCTTCTAGCATAAATTATGCAACTATAGTAGTAGTTATAAAAGGAAAAAACAAAAAGAAGAAGCATGGCTTTGCAGTTGATAATACACTATAATCAAAAAACCACCTCCTCCTCCTCCCTCCTGCTGCTGCTGCAATTGCTATTGCCATGGCTAACAAAAACATCGGCGCAAAATTCATATGCTAAGGCTGGTTGTCAAGAAATCTGCGGAGATGTTTTAATTTCATTTCCTTTTGGAATTGGTCCCGGTTGTTACTTGAATGACTGGTACAATGTAGAGTGCAGGAACTCCCACAGCAGCAGCAGCTACTGAGGATTCGCACCTTACATAAAAAGCGTCAATCTTGAGTTCTGTCAATTTATCTGGAAACTATGTTCAAGTCAAGAATCCAGTAATATCTCCCCACTGTCCCCTTGTTAACAATGGATGCACAGGCACAAGTTTAAACAGTGTTGACTTGACCAATAGCCCTTTCCTCTTCTCAGAAGCGTACAATTTATTCATGACCGTGACCTCGGACTCCAATAACAACAACAACAATAACACAATAGTTGCCATGACAGATATGCACAACAAGACGATTACCCGGTGCACGCCTACTTGCAATTTTACTCAAAATTTCATCAATAATACTAGCTGCTGAACTGAAATCCCTGCAGATACCAAAGCAAGTTTGAGAGACTATATGAGTGGAAGTGGAGTGCAACAACAACAAGAGTGTATATATGCATTCTTGGATCACCAAATAGTAAATGGGTTCTACTTTTACTTTGATATTCATATCCCTGCTGTTCTCGAATGGGTTTTACACAATACTACAACAGACCTCGGTTTGGCACCTTACGATAAAAACAGCCCATGTTTAATGTTGTCCCGTGTTACTCCTTCCTTATTGGAGGGGAGGTGTGTTGTTAAAAGCATCCAATGCCATTGCAGGTATCCCTTTGTCGGAAATCCTTATCTTCCCAATGGATGTGTAGGTACGTCTTATGCTCTCTCAACCTATCTACCTATGTCTTTGAATTAATGTTCAAGTGTTAAATATGTGTCTTTAATTTTCTGATAGAATTTATCGTAATTATATGCAGATGAATGCTCACAATATCCTAACCTTCCCTGGTGCAAAAGTCGGAAAGACATTATCATTGGTAAGCTCATTTTCCCTTTTAACTGTTTGAAGAATTCTACAAGGAAAAAGCTAGATGCTCAAAATAATTA